TGTACCACACACTTTAGGGACATTGAAACTGTCACCCTGCATAAGCTCCTCGATTCCAAGGACTGTGATGATCTGCCAGTCAGTCTGCAAGTAATCACGTATTGAGCACCTTCCGTGTGTATGCTGTGCTGAAACTATTAATAGTAAAGCAAAATGAAGACAGAATGGAAGCTCCTTGAGGACGGGAACTTTATCTTATTCATAGCTCATCCTCAGTACCTAAATTTGCCCTTAGTATATATAGTAGATGCTCAACAAATATTTATCAGCTAACATATCCTATTGACTTGATGCCCACATAGTCATATAGGTGGGTGCTTATTGACAAGGAAACTAAGGCTTCAAATGAAGTGACCTTCCCAAAGTCACATAGCAGCAACATCAAAGCCAGAGCTCTTTAAAACCCTGAACCATACTCCTCATTTGTCTAAAGTATAGCTCCACACAGCAGCCCCCTCTGAGTGAGGACAGCAGCCCTCCCACTGACAGCTGGTATTCACCCTTAGCTAAGAGAAGGATGAGGTAGGTACCTACAGTAGATGGTGGTACTTACTCCTGCTATGTGAAGAGACAGGAGGCTATATCAGAGGGGACTGACCTGCAGCATTAGAAACGGGAGTAGGGGCCTTGCTTAGGCCCCTCATGGAGATGGCTGATGCACAAGGTTGCTGAGTATTCCAGCTTAAGGCAAGGGACCCACTGTTAGAGAAGATATCCAGGTTGTGAATGAAACAGTTTTCCATGTGACTTTCCAAACAAATGCATTTAAAATGGTGTTATGGGCTAAGACGTTTCAAAAGTAGTTTTGCTGTCCCTCCTTTTTTTTTTTTTTTGAGACAAAGACTCACTCTATCACCCAGACTGGTGCGATCTCAGCTCACTGCAGCCTCCGCCTCCCAGGTTCAAACAGTTCTTCTGCCTCAGTCTCCCAAGTAGCTGGGATTACAGGCAGGCATCACCACACTTGGCTAATTTTGTATTTTTAGTAGAAATGGGTTGCACTATGTTGGTCAGGCTGGTCTTGAACTCCTGACCTCAGGTGATCGGCCCACCTTGGTCTGCCAAAGTGCTGGGATTATAGGCATGAGCCACCATGCCTGGCCTGCTGTCCCTGCTTTTTAAAAAGACATCATTGTCAATTTTCATTAAGTGGAAGACAGTCCTATTTATTTATTTATTTATTTAATTTTATTTTTTTGCTTTGCAAAAAGCACATCCTGGAACTGATGGCTGGAAAGCTGAAGATGTATGTCTCATACACTCCTCAAGTCATACACTATCACTATAGTGACTGCCTCTATAGCACAGCTGTTCTTCCCCAGGAATCAACCTTTTCATCTACTATGTCCTCAGCTCTTTCCCAAATGTTATGGGAGAGGCAAAGAAATGCAGAGATGCGGCCGGGCGTGGTGGCTCACGCCTGTAATCCCAGCACTTTGGGAGACTGAAGTGGGTGGATCACCTGAGGTCAGGAGTTCAAGGCCAACCTGGCCAACATAGTGAAACCCCGTCTCTACTGAAATACAAAAATTAGCTGGGCATGGTGGTGTATGTCTGTAGTCCCTGCTACTTGGGAGGCTGAGACAGGAGAATTGCTTGAACCCAGGAGACCGAGGTTGCTGTGAGCCAAGATTGCACCACTGCACTCCAGCCTGGGCAACAGACTGAGACTAAAAAAAAGAAATGCAGAGATGCTCTCTGCCTTCAAGAAGCATAGCAGCTGGATGAGAGGACAACAGTGAAATTCAGGAGCCCGGGAGAACCTCCAAATATTCTGCTTGTTGTACTGAGCCTGGAAAAGGAAGAGGTCACTATGGATGCAAGTAAACAGGGATGGCTTTCTTGACCAACCCGCCTAACTCTAATCATCTAATGACCTCCCTCTTTTGCCTAATCCTGTCCATGGTCTCTTCCATGCATTCTTTCATGCTCAGGAGTAATTACAATTAGATGTGAGAGGTGGTACCGAGCAATGGCTCAGCGCACAGACTCTGAAGCTGATATGGTACAGAGGTGAATCCCAGCCTTGCTGATTAGTAGCTGGGTGACTCCAAACCTCTCTATGCCTCAATTTCCTTAGTTACAAAATGTGGACAATAATAATAATGCTGACAGTAAAACCCACCTCATAGGATTGATGTGAGGATTAAAAGATCTATGAAGAGTTCTTAGAAGGTGCCTGTTACCTAGTACTCAGCTCAGTATTCACTGGCTTTGTTGTTGTTGTTGTTGTTGTTGTTTTGAGACTGAGTCTCACTCTGTCACCAGGCTGGAGTGTGCTGTGGCGCAATCTTGGCTCACTGCAACTTCCGCCTCCTGGGTTCAAGCAATTCTCCTGCCTCAGCCTCCCGAGTAGCTGGGATTATAGGCGCCCGCCACCATGCCTGGCTAATTTTTTTTATTTTTAGTATGGATGGGGTTTCACCGTGTTGGCCAGGATGGTCTCCATCTCCTGACCTCGTGATCCGCCCACCTCAGCCTCCCAAAGTGCCGGGATTACAAGCTCAAGCCACTGCGCCCAACTGAGTATGAACTGTTTTGTTATTAAAACATGTGTGTCTCTGCCATTTGCATTAATGTGTGTCCTTGTGCCTGGCTCACCTCCCTGTTATACTGTCACCTCCATAAAGACTGGCAGAGTGTCCTCTGCTTCCTTATCTCTTTATTGTTTGTATTAGTCCATTTTGCGTTGCTACAAAGGTACGCCTGAGGCTAGGTAATTTATGAAGAAACGAGATTTAATTGGCTCATGGTTCTGCAGGCTGTACAGGAAGCCTGTTGCTGGCATCTGCTTCTGGTGAGGACCTCAGGGAGTTTCCTCATGGCAGAAGGCACAGGGGAAGCAGGCGGTCACATGGTGAGAGAGGGGGAGCGATAGCGAGAGAGATGAGTGAGGCTCTTTCAAACAACCAGATCTCACATGAGCTCATTCCCATGGGGAGTTCACCAACGTAGATCTGCCCCATGGATGAAAGATCCGCCCCATGACCGAATACCTCCCACTAGACCCCACCGCCAACATTGGGGATCACATTTCAACATGAAATTTGGGGGGACAAACATCCAAACGGTATCACTGCCTTTCAGTGCTGTATATACAATTGGGGTCCCCTGGTTTTGGAATCCTGGATATTCCAGGACTGTTCAGATTTCAAAGATTCAGCTGTATTTTCTAAGCTCAGTTCTTAGGAGCTCTGTTCATAGTTATTATGTTGGTGCAAAAGCTGCACCAACATAATATCAGCTCATATATCCCAATATGGTGTTCAGGAAAAAAAAAAAAAAGTCCCTACCAATAGCTGTCATTGGCAGGCTCTACCAGCTTTGCTTTCTCTTGGCAGAGTGCTCTAGCAATGCCCAGGAGCCCTTCTGCAGAGGCTGGACAGCTCCCCTGGCGTTTGGCAGCTAATTCAGTTGTGCATGCCTTCAGCACTAAATGCTTTCACCTGTCCCCACCCCAGCCCCACCCGCAGAATCCCTTCCTTGGTTTTAATAAACATCCAGCTATCTTTATCCATTTACTGCTGCTATAACAGAATACCACAAATTGGGTAATTTATAAAGAACAGAAATTTACTTCTCACAGTTCTGGAGGCTGGTAAATCCAAGATCAAGACACTGGCAGGTTTGGCATCTGGTGAGCATCTGGTCTCTTCTGCCAAGATGACACCTAGAATGCTGCATCCTGTGGAGAAGAGGAACACGTGTCCTCACATAGCAGAAGGCAGAAGGGCAAAAAGGAGGCAAACTCCCCACCTCTCAATACTGTTGCATTGGGGATTAAGTTTCCAACACGTGACTTTAGGGGAAGCATTCAGACCATAGCATCAGGTATGGCCGAATTAAGTAACTTGCTACTTACTGCCAAGCAACCCAAACTCAGGTCTAGGACCTGCAAGTTCAGATAAGGAAACTGTGTCCCAAGCTTCCAAGATAATAGCTGGTGAGGACAGATTCAGACTGACCCAAGCAAAGGGGTGACAGACAGGGCTACCTGGACAGAAATTTGCTAAAGGGATGGAAAATGAAAAATCAAAGTGAGCTATAAAAACATTAACATGGGCTGGGTACACAGGCATGTGCTTGTAATCCCAGCACTTTGGGAGGCTGAGGCAGGAAGACTGCTTGAGCCCAGTAGTTCAAGAGTTCAAAACTAGCCCTGGCAACAGATTGAGACCCTGTCTCTAAAAAAAAAAAAAAAAACTAGCTGGACATGGTGGCACACACCTGTAGTCCTAGCTACTTGGGAGGCTGAGGTGGGAGGATTGCTTGAGCCCTGGCGTTTGAGGCTGCAGTGAGCTATTATGTGTGATCACATCACTGCACTTCAGTCTGGATGTCAGAGCAAAACCCTGTCTCAAAAAAAGAACAAAGAAAGAAAACGAAAAAAAACAAACAAAAAGTCAATGTAGAGGCCCAGAGAGGAAAATCCAAAGTTGCCATGGTCTCTGTGAAGTCTTGCCTGGGCCTGCTCTTTGTTTTTCAGCTGTTCACTCCTAAGTCAGAGAGGCTGAGTCTAACAAACCTCAGTGCTGTTTCTAGTCACTAAAATTCATTACCTCCTTGAGATATATGTCATGGTTTGGGTATTATAGGGCTGGTGGCTTGTCTGAGGGTAGCCACACAGCACCCTTGGTGGGCAGAGGGCCCAGGTCAAAGGGAGACTAGGCTCTAATGACAGGAAGTGCCCAGAGTGCTCCATCTCAACCAGATGGCTACCCCAAACAGGAGTTTGGAAATTATCCCTGTAACATTCACACATGACCCAGTCACGTGTGAGTCCTGACCCATTTGCATACTGACAACTTAGTTGTCAGCTGGACAACTGACCACAATATCTCCTCCCCCCACTCCCTCCAGTGAGACACTTGAATGGTAGGAAACAATTTCTCTTTTTTAGTGTTGGGTAAACATGTAATTAGCCTTGTACTTATCTCTATTAGTATCATTAGACTTGAAAACCCAGTTTAATCTGGATTCTGCTCTCTTCTCAATGTCAGCCTGTTTCTGGACCAGTACAGAGCCAACCTTGTTGATGCAATAAAGAGATTACTCCAGCCCAGGGTAAGTATGTTTCTGTTTTCTCCTGAACAGTGGCTACAGGATAATTAGTCTGTGCACAAAGATGGAGAGAGTAATGGAATGGCAGGATTAATGTCATGTAATACTTTAATACTTATTATGTCCAACTTCAATTGGGTCTTCTGATCTATTAGATTCTTTCCTAATCATAACTAGGAAACTTCTTACCCTTGGCCTTCTGATAAGAAACACAGTGGGTAGTAAAATAAATGCAACCGCTTCAAAGATAGTGTGAGATTATTTTTATCAAAGAATTTCTTGAGTCTTTTCCTTTGATGACAATATCTTCATATTAAAGTCCAAGTATGATATTGAAAGTTTTCTGTTGACTTCTGTCATTTTAATTCCTTCAATGGCAGCCTTTGTCATTGGGTATTTATTTATTGCAAAAGAATACTTTTTTCTTTTTATTTCTGTTTATATTAAAGAAAAAGGACTTCAGATGAATCTGTATATTAATAGTTCTATGCTTTAAAAGGAAGCCATTATTTACGTATTATAAACATTAGGTCACAATGAAGCCAACCATGGCATCAAATATTGTGCACATTTTTACATTTATATATCCATTTATGCCTGTGAGTAAATTACAGAGTTTGTATCCACTTGTATTTTGTTGGACTGTTATACTAAGCTAGGAGGTCCTGCAGCCTAAATGGAGAGTTAATATACATCTATTTAAAGTAAGAAAATGAGTTTAAAGCTCATGCATTAAAAAAAAAAAAATCTTATAACTATGTAAGACTCTTGCTGTGCCATAGGAATTTAAAATAGGTTAACAGTATTAATATAGTCAAAGATAGGAACGCATATTTATCTAAGAACACTGAAGAGTGTGTGTGTGTTTCTAAAGTATTGTTTCTAAAGTATTTTTCCAGAAAGGCTCACTCTAGTCTTCTGACTCAGTGAGACTTACCGACCAATACCTTTTAACCTTTTTTTAAAAATATCTTTTTCATATTGAAGGTTCCCAGAGAATCTGATAATCATCCTTTGCCATACACTGTTGCTTTTTATTCTGCTATCTCTATGTAGCTCAGAAACTTAAACTAGGCCTCTCAAAGGAGTAGCCATAGCCTCCTAAGTGGTAATCAGTCCATTCAAGTGGTAACCATTCAATTGGCCTCCTCAGTTGCCCCTGTGAAATGGGCAGAAGATCTTGAGGCAAGAAAGGGGCATGTTCCAAGCTATTGACGGCCCCTGCCTGGTTGGGTAGGCAGCCCAAGTTGAGAACAGAAGAAGGAAATTTGGGTGTCTCCATCCCCCGACCCCTGTTGGCTTTGGGTGATTCTTGTGAGCATTTGCAAGACCAGGATTTTCAGGGATGGCCTAAGATTCTTGGATATGAAGGCTTCTATGAAAATGTATCATACATAAATATAATGCTTTCAAGGACTCCTAGATCTCACACTGCACAAACAGTGCTTCACTCATCACCAGTGCCCCTTCAAAGCCTATTTGTGGCAAATACTCCATTTTACAGCAAATTTGCATGATTTACCTAGGATCTATTGTAAATCATTCGTGTGATTTACAATAGAAAAGTGCCCAAGCTATGAATAGACCTAAACGCAGACTGGACTGGAATCTAGCAGCTCTTCTGCACCCTCTAATAAAGCCTGAGCGCACTCCCTTTGTGTGAAGTGTGGCTGCACCCGGCAGTCCCCTCTGAGCGAGGACAGCAGCCCTCCTGCTGACAGCTGATACCCTTAGCCTAGAGAAGGGGGAGGCAGGGCCCTAGGGGAGGTGCACTTACTCCTGCTATGTGAGGAACAGGGAGGCCAAGTCAGAGGGGCTCACACTAACCCGTAGCATTAGAAATGGCAGTAGGGGAGGGCCTCACTTAGGTCCCTCTTGAAATGGCTGATACCCAGGGCTGCCAGTTATTCTAAAGTGTCAGGAGCCCACCGTCAGAGGGGAATCCCAGTTGTAGATGGCACATGGACTTAACCAAAATTACCACCCAGGAACCACATCCCTATGTGAGGTGGACACTTGTCCTCCATGAGCCTCCACCCAAATGGACCACAGAAGGGTCATGTGGGCTGGGCAATGGACAGCACAGTCCCATAGCCTGTGCTGGTAGGCTAGGAGGCTGTCCAGAGCACGGGGTAACCAGGGGAAAACTGGACTTTTCTTCTTAGCTCTCAGGGCTGGCTGTTTGCTGAAGGACCTCCCCCTGCTGAGTATACAGTCCAAGACTAAGAAAATGGTCAAGGTTTTATTCCATTACAGTTGAGCTGGTTTTAGTGTTCTCTTGAGCCCAGACAACTCCTCTGTGGTTTTGTGGCCCAAAGGCCGAAGCTGTCACAAGAAGCCCACAAAGAAACTACGTGGTGGGCTACATGGTGGATCCTGAGTTCTTGATGATTCAGTGCAAGATACAGCAAGTTCTCTGTGCACTTCCAGCAAATGCTTCAAGTTCATAGTGTGGCCCCAGTTTCTGAAGGTATAGTGTAGTGGGTGGAAAGCATCAGAAAAATCTGCATACAAAACCCAAGTCTACATTAACTACCTGGCCTCTCTGCGCCTGAGTTTCCTCACCTGTCAAAAGGCAGGACTAATGCCCACGTTGTGGGCTGGTGTGAAATATTTACATATGTAAATCGTTGGTCTGTGCCTGGCTCACAGGAGGTGCTCCTTAAGGGGAGCTGCTCCTCTTTTATTGCTCTACCGCTTATGGAGGTTAACCCACAGGAGACATTTGTCCAGGGGTCGCTGGCTTGACTGATGGGACACCTGAGTTCCAGGCCCAGTGTGGCACTAACAGGCTCTGGAATCGTCTCTCACTCCATTCTCCCCAAAGAAGGAAAATGAGGAAGTTCACCTGTGCTCTAATAGAGTTCTGTGAGCTCTGAAATCCTACATTCACCTCACAGACAGAAGGTGTATGTGGGCCCTGGAGGCAGAAAGCTTAGGTTCATATCTGGTCTCTGCCATTGACGGAATTAACGTCTGGAAGCCTCAGTTTCTCATCTGTAAAATGGGGAGTGAAAAAGCTGATGCACTGTAATGGACATGATTGGCTCTGAGTATCTATTCAAGGTTAGCTCTGGTTACTTTGACTGGTAAATACAGACTATGGGGGCCTTCTTCCAAGCATTTTCCTGGAGAAATGCCAGTGGCAGGGGGAGACATGATTTTCTTGACCTGGACTTTGAGAATTTCTGCACGTAATTGGCACGCTGCATCTCCCCTGCACATGTGTCCTGAACACCTGTAGCAGGCCCTGCACTGGTTCCAGGAGGATTGTCTACCTAGATGAAGGTGACACTTTACTACAGACAGTCCCCACCGAGTCAGGGGAGAGTGCTCTACATTGACAAGAGAGAAGTAACTGCAACTTGAAGGTTCAAGCGTCAAGCTGTGGGAACAAATGAATTCTGCCATTTAGGGGAGTATGGTTGATTTCTACCTTGAGCCAATCAGTTGTCTGCGGTCAGAGGGTCCAGAAGCAAAGAAAACAGAAAGGGGGAGTTTCTCTGCCTTTCAGTTTCCACACGGAAGCTATGAATGAAGAGAAACAGGGCCCCAAAGAGAGCGTAGCCACCAGGGTGGGCTCCTCGCTTGGCCCAGGGGTCATGTCAGATCCCGGGTTGAGCTTAGATCCTCAGCCAAACAGGCACCTGTGCCTGAAAAGTCATTACAGCAGGCCCCAAATTTCAGCAGGGCATGTTTGTTACCACCTGAAATGGAGACTTTCCTCAACCTGCTGGTCTAAAGAAACTGTAAAGATTGTTAACTCCTGTCAGAACTATCTTCAACCACAAGGGACCCTCCAGCAAACTTTATAGGTGAAAACAATAGAATAGGTATGAAAAATGAATGAAATCGGCACATTTTACCCATTCCAAGAAGCAATGCCCCTCCAGCCGCCCCCCACCCACCCACTTTTCCCTCTGGTGAGTGGCTTCTTGTTGCCGATGATTGATAGAGTGACTCACTGTCATTGTATTCCTTAAAGTCCATGACAACAGCAGTGTCCAGTATCAGAGGACCCAAATGTAATTTAAAATACAGGCACAGCAGCCTGCAAGTTGAACTTTCATCCAGGAATGACAACCAACAAATGGTATCTACTAATATTCCTCTGAAATGGCTTTGGGTACAGGGAGGGGAGCCAAGTCAACCAGACAGGATGAGTTTCCCCAGGCCCAGAGGATAGAATATTGACAGTAATCCAGCTTGTTACCACTGCTAACCAACTGTCAAGAATCCAGAAATATCACTGTGGAATTCACTTAACCTTCTTCGGAAATTGGCCCTAACTGACCACCAGATTCCCAGAGTCCTGCCTATATCTAAGGTTTCCTATAAATGTAAGTCATAAACTCTCATATTAGAAAAGCAATTTTTTTAGGGGGACAGGGTCCCACTCAGTCACCCAGGCTGGCGTTCAGTAGCACCATCACCGCTCACTGCAGCCATGAACTCCCGGACTCAGGTGATGTTCCTGCCTCAGCCTCTCAGATAGCTAGGACTATAGACATGCACCACCACGCCTGGCTAATTTTTGTATTTTTTATAGATATGGGTGTTCATGTTGCCCAGGCTGATCTTGAACTCCTGGGCTCAAGCAGTCCTCCTGCCTTGGCCTCCCAAAGTGCTGGGATTACAGGCATGAGCCACTGTGCCCAGCCAAGTTCTTTTTGCTGAGAGACTTTCTCATCTTTTTTTGGAAAAAATCTAACATCTCTGCCCACCGCTGTATAAACCTCTTTGTTTGCTCATTTCAGGGAAATTGCCTTGTGTATGTGGGATCAGTACAGTGAACTGAAATAGTGCTGAAAGGCACTTGGGTTCTTATCTGCCTACTGAGTCAGAGACCCAGCAAGTCCTCACCAGTTCTTGGTGAAAAATGAGCTCCTATGGTTGTAGGATTGCCTTAGACACAAGGGTTGTAGCTTAGAGAGAGTCCTCAGATGGTTTTAAGACCCTCAGAGCAGGGGCCCAGCCATGAGAAGTCCTTTTCTAATATCTAC